TTTTTAGTATATTTTATTTTGCACGTTGTATGAAACAAGTTGAGAATTATTGGATATCAAATTGTGAATTTGAATATGAGCATCTTGTCAAAGTAGTACAAATATTATTAAGAGGTCCTGCAGAAATTTCAGAAATAATACACAACAGACTGCAATTAGTTAAGACACATCCCAATGGTACAATATGGCATAAAATTGAGAAAGATGCTGGATGGTAATAGCATAAACCTTGCACAATCATTAAAATGAAAAGAGAGTTTATACATAATGACCGGGATCTATTATTATTTTTTTATTAGTAACTGTAAATATTATACACTTACAATTGCAGACTTAGTGTACCAGATAATACACCTTTCACTGCTGTATTAAAATTTGCTGCTGAAGAATTTAAAGTGTCACCATCTACATCTGCAATAATCACAGATGACGGAATAGGTATTAATCCACAGCAAACGGCAGGTGCGTATTCTACGTGATTAAACAATACGGGAAATATTTCGAAGTATTACATGTATGATTTGATTAATTTTAGGAAACGTTTTCCTTAAACATGGCTCCGAACTCAGATTAATTCCTAGAGATCGAGTTGGATATGGTAGATGATTTGTACTAGTATAGTAAATATGTGTTGGTTTTTTGAAACTTTCGTCTACATGTAAATTATTTCCTAACATATTAAACAGCTACTTTTTCATATAAAATTTGTTATCCATGTAAATTTAAATAAAGACATTCCTAAAGTATTATAAATCGTGCATTAAATTACTCGATTCTAAATATAAATAATATGAGGGTAAAATTATATAAGGACACAGAGTATACATGTTTGATAAAAAGATTTTATAAGTGAAATACATGTAAGAGGTATAAGGTCGATACAAAGGTATGTCACTACATGATAAAGTTACTTAGCGATCAGTCATAGCGCAATATTGAATACTAAGAAACTTCTTGTTGCAATTGAATTAATTTTTCATGTGTAAGATCTTCAAATCGCGTCCTACGAAAGATCGCATTAATTACTGAGAGTGATATAAATCTACTGTTATAATGAAAGGAAACAAACTCACGGTATAAAGATTTGTATATGATATAGTATTTTTGAGAAGCATCATAAGTTAGAAACAGTTTTTATCTATTCAATGATAACATTTTTCATTTACCTCCCTTTAATTCTAATACATTCATCAATTGTTTCGCTTTAAGGGGCAATACAATAAGATTAAAGATATAGAATAAACATTTTTTCTGCAACTTATGACAACTTTTCAAGATATCATTTTTACATAACACTATGTATATATTATATGGCATTCGGTCTGCGTGTCATGTATGATGCTACGGAAGAATGGAATGGCCTCAAAAAATAAGACTAATGAAATATGCAACAATAACGTTTCTCAGCTCTAGAATATCTGACGGATGATTATTTAGACATACAAATGTGAATTACAACGCGGACGATGCAAATGGCAATATTTTTTTTCATAGCGAAGTATTACTTTGTTCCTCTTTGTTTTATTTTTTTTTTATCTTTTACTCTCGATGCGTACAAAAGTTCTCTCATTACTTTTAACTTATCAGGGGAAACCTTATGTTTCTAGAATGGTACAAAAACGTGAGTGTGTGTGTGATAAATGTAGAGAAAAATATACACAACTTTTTTAAATGCTTTAAGATATTCAATCCACTGTATAGGAAACTTAATTCATGAGCTTTTCCATTTCTTTTTTCTTTCAATTGTTGTATGAAACTTTTGGCACCTCTATAATTTTTTGCAGTTTCACGATTCTGTGCCCTTTGTATGACAAAATACAAAATTGGAATGTTATCTTGGACAGTTGAGCAAACTGATCAATGACTTTTTATCAGAGAACAAATTTTACGATTTATCGTACTTTTATCATCGTATGCTTCATAGTACTTCCGGCAACTATAAGCTAGGGTTTGTCGAAAGGGCATAGCACCATCTGATTAATTTTTTTTTACATACGATTAATAAATTGCTGACGTTCGAATATAAAAGTATCAAGTGTGCGTGATTCACGCATGAAAGCGTAAATTCCATGTTCACTCGTAGATACTATTAAAAATCGACACACTAAAATGGAGGGATCATTGTCCTTACAAAATTGCTTTCGATCGCACGAGTAGGAACAACAGTATATTCTTAACAGTTACAAGAAACTATCGTTACAGATAATTAGACTATTTTATCGCACTAAAGAATGGTCTATTTAAATGGCATAGAATATGTTTGTACAAAATTGCAAACGAATACACTTAATTTCTATTAGACCATTAAAAGTATAAGTTTATTGTATATCGCATAGAAAAAATATGCATCTTTATACTACTTGCAATCTAAAACATGTTTTTTCTTTATGACTACTAATAAATATGGAATTCACGCTTCGACGTTTTAATCATGGATGCACAATGAATTCAAAAAGTGGTTTCACATTATGGTACATTCGGTGGATCGTCGATTTTTCGATTTTTACAAATATTTTGGCGCAATTGAAAGAGTATAAAAGTTGATTTATTCTCTAGATTCAAGACAGTCGTTCGATTATCCCTTAGATCCTGGAGAAACGCTGACCGTACAATTAGTTACCGTGTATATACTTCGCTGTATAACATAATTGTCGCCTTATGACTTAATACGTGTAACTTCCGTTTCTCGTTTATCTCATACAGTATGTGCGTGTGTATACATATGGGTATTACGAAATATCGTAAAAATTTTTTATTCTTGATTTATGAAAAATGTATCGTTTGCTAGTATCACACGTATGATGGTTACGTTATAATAATGTATACATTGAGACTATCATTGATAATGATAAATAAAGATACGTGGCACTAATAGTTATATGTCTTGTAAATTATATATTATTTTGTCGAGATTAATTTTATGGGTATTTCTCTATATAGTAATAGAAAGGAACAAGGCTTGTTGGATAATAAGAATAAATATTGACAAATAATTTGTCCAAAGATATTGTACATTTTTTAAAATAATTTTTCATTCAAATAAAGTTTAATTTTAGAAAATTATATGTACTTTTCCATTCGAAAGAAATGATAAAAATTATTTGTTCAAGCAATGCCCATTTCTAATTAATAGGCTAATCTCTTTTGTATTTTCAAATCATAGATGGCATATCTTAAAGCATTCTCAAACTTTAAGAAGCAATATAATTAAACTATTCAGTAGATTCGTTTTCACTCAGTATTAGAAACACTTTGAAATAGTACCAGTAATCTCGAAGTCACATAGTTCCTTTGAAAACATGATAATTCTTAAATATATGTATAATCGAAACTATTGTCAAATTCTGATAGGTTCTCGTGAATATTCTGTTAATCTAAATCTCTAATACAGCTCTTACGATAATTATCCTATGTAATTATTCTTAATACCAAGAGTGAATCATACGATAGCAATTAATGGAAATCATTTATGATAAAGACTGTATTCGCGAATATTTTTTTACAAGGACGTCTTGACTGAACTACTATAATATGTTACGAGATTTTTATATAGCGAAATTAATAACTCTTCAATGTCCCGTCCTTTATTTCCTTTAAATTAAATCGGTACGATTAATCTGGGTAATTATACTTACGTTAAAAAATTACCACAATCAAAAACTTCGCACACCTATCGTTAGCTTTCCCGAATGAAAATTTTTCTTGGAAGTATCATTCCAATTATAAATATCTCACGACGTACGCGTTAATATCGAAATACCTTCTCTTATGCCGTGGCTTTTTAACTTACAAATAAATTACGTTTCGAACAGCTACATTTAAATTTACTTTACCTTATCGCTTTATTTTAATGACCTACCGATGCTGCGCAAACTTCACTCATCCTGTAATTAAAATAATTAATCATTTTAAAAAATAAGATTTAACAATAGAAAAACTGAAATTATTTTAAATTATATTTTTTAAGACTGTACAACAAAAATTACCCACCCATTCGTGCTCCTCTACACCTTCCATGTGATCCTGTTCCAAGGAGCACTCTATTACATCCCCCACAAAGTTGCTCATAGTTTTCTGGATCTACCACACACACATTAACAATACACTCAGACAAAATAAGATATAGAACTACGAATTTTTTGAAATTACATTTGTAAGTTTAATACAGTTCACAGAAGATCTCTTCAAGAAGCTGTGCCTTGAACCCGAATCTTTACAATACCAAAACGAAAAAAAAAAGAGAAAATATCCAGAAAACACATGCTGAATCATTTTAAACTTTTTAAAAAATAAAAAAGTACTACTAAATGCGATATTTATATACATAACTCATGCTAAACTATGTAAAAATGTCTACATACTTCTTCTTGTTTAGCTTTTACGTCAGGATTCCATCCGAGTCTGGTAAAGGGTTGGGCAGATACAGAGAATGGAGTCGTCGATTGTTGTTTCGCCACAACTGGTGCAGTTACTACTCCCTGGCCTTGACTTTCAGTCACTAGACAGAGCAAATATTTTTACATGAAACCAACAAGCAATGAAATACATGTGTAAAAAGTATTATTAATTCTTACTTACAGTTGTCCATGCCAGGTGGTTTTAGACTTATTCTATACGCTTGTTTATTAGCTCCGTTAAACCATTCAATGGCCGTCATAGTTGGTTTCCATGTAACTTTCGTTGGTGGGAACAGATCATCTTGAAAGAGTTCACTCTGAAACGGTCAAAATTAATTCCTTTCTCTTTTATATCTTTCTCGGTTACACTGAACTTACCTTTATACGTGGAACAGTGAAACTCAGTGGTTCTATCGTATTGTTCGTTAATCTTAAAGCTGACGCAAATTCTACACTAGCAACGTCGCACTTATTCTTAGGAAGAAACGATAAACCTTGATGCAAACTGCTACATCGATGATGACTGAGTGGACAACAATATGGTGCCTCTTCCGTCACTTCAAAAGCATAGATCGTAGAATCACCCTAAAAGTTCATTTTCAATGAAAAGTCATTCCGATCTATTGCACTTCGAATTGTATAATAAAACAAAACTTACACGTCCTGTTAAGAAGAGGGTTGAACTGTCTTCGTCGTAATATGGCATCAAAATGGCGGGCGACACGTCTAATCCGACCGTAGTCAAAGGAGTATTAAGATTGTCTGCTTTAAACACGTATATTTGCCTTTCTGAAACCCTAAGAGCAAACATATGTAGTAACAAATTGTTTTACTATAATCCTAAAATATTTTAAACCCTTTTTATATTGTACATACTTATCAAAACCTATCACAACTAGAAATTGTCCCTTTAATGCCCACACAACGCGTGCACCTCTGGTACCAACAGGTCCCTTTCCAGTTTTCACTGGCACATCACTGGATCTTGGTTTATAAACTCGTAATTTTCCATCTTTGCACGTGCTCGCGAGATACTGACCGCATGGTGACCATGCTAAACTGAAGATTTGATCGGTGTGTCCCGTTAGCGTTATTTTTGCGGCTGCAGCCTCATAAGACGATAAGAACGTCAAATCCCAAATTTTTACGGTCATATCATAAGAAGCTGATGTCAAGACGTCCGACGACAATGGATGAAATTTAATTAAA